TGAGTTTACTAACTTACTTCATGATCCATCAAAAAAAGATGGGTGCCTCGCTGCACCTATATTCTTTGGTCATGTTGATTATTCTTGTCTTGGGGGCAAGACAGCACGAATCAATAGCATGTACTTGAAAAAATTAGAAGAAGATACTACATCTGGCTTCCGGTGCATCTTATGGCCTTGGAATCTGTTTCCCTCTTTGATCTTCAACTGACTATAGGATGAACCTCTTCTGCACCCATCTGGAATTGAGAGATGGGGACTAAGGAAGGACCTTGGCTGGGAAGGCTTGTGTTTGAGACTATTCTGTCTCATCCACCCAAGCGTTCCTTCCCTCCTTGCTCCTTTCTTTGTCTCCAACAACTTGTCATCTTCAAACTGGCACAACAACCCTCCAGAAGCAAGCTACTTCGACGCAGCACTATGTTTCTTTTATATTTTGCAAATTGTATCCACTGAATTTGAACAAAATTTCATGAAGAAAACTTGCAATGTTAGTCACCCATTTTTATTTCTTTGTTGCATTTCTTACCACTACTGAATGTTCTCCCAGACTGTTGGTCTATAGGCCTTTAAGAATTGCCCGTTGATGGAGCGACTGTGATGCCCTCTATCTAAGTCCCTTAAGTGGTAAATACCACATTTCTTAATTTCTAAGACTTCAAACGGTCCTTCCTAGTTGGCAGACCATTTTTCAAATCTTTGGTTGTTAAATCCTAAAGACAACCTTGCCTTCTAAACTAAGTCACCTGCCCTAACGTCTTTTCTTTAACTCTTCTGTCGTATGATCTTGCAACCCTTAGCTTTTGTAATTTAATGCAATTTAACATGCCCAATTGCACTTCATTTAAGTCTTCAAGCTCTATCATCATGGCTTCATTATATTCAGTTGGACTTAAGTTATGCTGAAAAGTCACTCTTAACGACTTCACAGTGATTTCTAGTGGCAAGACTATATCATGTCTATAGATCAATTTGAATGGCACCACTTTGGTACTAGACTGTTTGGACGTTCTATACGCCCATAATGCTTAACTTGCAATGCCGGCTTCTTGGATTGTCTTCCACCATCTTGACAATGATTTCTTTCATCACTTTCTTGGTAAACTCAACCTGACTGTTTTCCTTGTGCGTAATATGGGGTTGAATGAATGATGTTGAAACCATATTTCTTTGTAAAACCCTTGACTTTCAATTCCTCCAAAGATTGTTCAATAGTCAGCCACTACGTGTTGGGGAAGCCTGAATTGATGCACCATATTCTCCTTTATTATTCAATACCCTAAAAAAAAAAGACATCAATCTGATTGACCGTCCTCATCATAATGACCTTTACCCACTTAATGTAATAGTCAGAAGCCAAGATGATAAAAGATTGGTGTCTTGTAGACAAAAGAAATATCTTCTCAATTAAATCCATGGCTTGTGCTCTAAAAGATTATGACTTTATTAGGGTTTGCATTTGCATTGCTGGCACCCTCTGGATAAATCTACGGCGTTGACACGCCTTTCAACCCCTTTCATATTCGATACAATCTTTGAGGATACTTGACCAATAATAATCATATCTTTTAATATTCTCTTCTAATACAACTTAATATAGCAAGTCATCATGCATCCCTTTCTTAAAAAAATTTGAGTACAAAAAAGGGTTTGTCCGTTAGAGAGAGGTCTATATCAAATCAAAATAAGGGTTTGGGTAAAGACCAAAGATGATCTAATAAAACATTTACAGTATCTCTCATAATGTTTACCTATTCAAACTTAAAAAAAGAACTTCAGATAATAGCTCATTGGATAAAACTTTAGTTGACTGGTGCAATGCAACAATATATATGTATCATCTCGTGTAGGGCTTCAAGTGATAATGTTCGAATTCGGAACTGAAGGTTCTGGATTCTTCCTCAAGTTTTTTCTTCAACCTTCTCCAAGTTCTCAACATATCAGACTGTATTAAGCCACGATATAGCGTCTCAAAAGTTACCTTCTGAGGAAGGATTCCATTTTCTATCATCTCCACGAAAAACTGGCAAGCCTCTCTCCACTTGTGTTTGTCGCACAGTCCATGAATCAGCAACGTGTATGAATCCAAATCCGGTCCAGCGCTAATGGCCTTCATGTCATCCCAAATTTCTTTCACAATCTCCATACGATTCAACTTCACAAACATCCCCACCAATATGTTGTACGTGTGCATACTTGGCAAAAATGGAGACTCTTCCTTCATTTTCCTATACAACTTCAGAGCATTATCCACATCCTTCCTTCCCCTGTACTCCTTAAAGAAACAGTTATAAGTAGCAGCCGATGGACTAACCCCATTACCCACCATCGCATTTAACAACGCCTCAGCATCTTCAAGCCTCCCACAAGAACAAAGACACTTGACAACGGAGGTATATGTGGCCACAGTTGGGTATATCCCTTTGTCCATCATCTCCTTCAACTTACTAAGTGTTAACTCTGGTTTATGGCTCCGACTATAAACATGAAGCAAAACAGAATAACTAGTCACATCTGGCTCTACCCCTCTCTCCCGCATTTCACCAAACATCTTCTCTGCATCTCTAATTGTCCTCTCGAACCTCTCCTCCGGATGCAAACTAGCCCTCCTACAGATCCCATTTAGCATCACATTGTAAGTAACAACATTGGGCACAATCCCCTTGTTCACCATCTCTTCGAAAAACCTCTCAGCCATTTTCCTTCTATTTGTTTTATAACACCCATATATCAAAATAGTATACATTTGGGCATCCACATGGAAGCTCCATTTCCTTTTATTGAAAATCTCCATAGCCACTTTTGCATATCCATATTTACACAAGGTATCCAAAAGATAACAGAAATCATTCCTCTCCACTTGCTTTTCGGTAAAACATTCCATATCATCAAATGCACGGATGGCTTGGCGGGTAAAGCCGGCGGAAATCAACCTCCGGATCAGAATTAAGAAGGTGGTTGTGGTGGGTTTGATCTTTTTCTGGTCCATTTCAACTATTAATTGCCAAACGACGTCGAACTGGCGAACTTTGCCGAGGATGTCGACGAGGAGGTTGTAAGAAACAGCGTCGTGGTGAAAATAAGGTTGCTGCTTGGTCCAGGTGAAGAAGGAGAGAGCAATTTTGGAAACGTTTTTGAGGCGGAGTAGGGTTTGATGTACGAGGTGTGGTGTGAGGATGATGCCATTGAGTTGAAGAGAAGATTCCATGGTGTGGAATGGGTTGTGGTGTTGAAGAAGGATATGGGAGACTAATTCGGCGTCGTTTGAAGGTTCCAGTGAAGGTAATGACGGTTTTGGGGGCCAATATTGAAAGTCTCCTTCTGGGTCGGAAGAGAGAAGTCGGATTGTGGAGAAATGAGGGAATTGCAGAGTAGTTATGGAGGTGATGATGGGACGAACATGGCCGTATCTCAACGCCATTCAATCCCTCTCTCTCTCACACTCAAATTAGTATCTGAAATGGAAATTTGAATTTCTCCCACTGAAATCTGAATTACTCTGCAGTAGAGAGTACTGCCTGACCAAGAAAACTGGGCAGAGCTGAAATAGGGCCGTTAAACGAGCCCAACCCGATCGAGTTCGGCTCGGGCACAATTTGTTTGTTGTTTGTCCGAGTTTGCTCATATTATAAAATTACAGTTTTACTCGAAACGTTAATAGGGTACGAATCAAAGTCACGCAAATTTAAATGGATCACCTAAAAAATTGTCATTATGCTTAAATACGAAATATTCAAGTGTAGCATTTTGAAATGATTAACCTGTTTAGCCTCCAACCAACCCGTTATTGATCCGTGTAATCCGTTTAATTCCTAAGAGTATTTTCAATCACGTTCAATAAAATAGTTACTTAAAATATATTTAAATATTATATTCACTATTTTAACTATTTATTTTTTAAAATTCACTTCAACCACGCTCTTTACTTTAACTAACTACTTTAATTAACTTTTAATAATATAATTCAAAAATACCGCGTGACGTAACACGCAAGCGCCATATTGATGACATGTCGTGCCACGTTATCAAATTTTAAATTTTATAACAGTCATTGTTTTAACAGTCATATTTGCAACAGTCATACATTATTCAAATGGTATCCAACAAGTGCATACATTTTTTTTTAAAAGATAATTTTATTTCCAAAAAAAAATGAATTACAAAAAGCAAAGAACAAGTGGTTCTAAAAAATCTGAAGCCAATGTCACACATCTTCAGCACTAGTCCAGAATGCATGATCACATTAAAAGCTGCTGCCAGAAAACCATATCAATAGATTGCATACCATCAAGATAACCCAGCCTCGAACCAACATGTTTTGTGATTGAAAATCCACTGCCTGCATGCTGCCTTTTTCATTTGAGGAAAAGAGAGGGGAATTGCACTGATTCGACAATATCAGATCCAATGCTTTTGAAACTTCAAAATCAAAACTGCTTTCTTTTGTTACTGGGCCCCGTTTGGCAACGTTTTCGTTTTTCGTTTAATATTTAGAGAAAACAAGAAAAAAAAACTCGTTTGGTAACCGATTTTGTTTTTCGTTTTTGTCACTGTTTTGTAAACGAGGACCGATTTTCAAAAACAAAAAAAAGACGTTTTTGGTTTTCGTTTTTCGTTTTTCAAAAACGAAAAACGAAAACGTTACCAAACGGTTTGTCTCTTTTTGCATAAACATAGAAGACGGCAAAGAGTACCCATTTCTAATTACAGACTGCAGCAGCCACTCTGCAACAAAGCACAGACTGCACCAACACAAAGACTGCAGCAGCATCCATCAGACCACAACATTAGCTCAGCACAGCAGCCTCAGCACAAAGGAATTAAAGTTCTAAATCCACAGAGATGGCTTTAATCCTTCAAAAGGACTAAAACTAACTAACTTCTGTCAGCTCCCCAAACCTGAAATGCAGAAAAACAGTTACATCCAGTCATCAACCTCAATCACTCCATCACAGCATCAGAATTCACAGAATGCAGCTTCTGGAATTCTGCTTCAGAAAACCCATGTAGCAACAGCACAGCTCCATGCTCAGACAAACAGCAGAATACTGTCTGTCTAAACCAGACCCCAGGCAAAGACTAAAAACAATTCCAAATAGAGTACTGATGTCCCTGTCTATTTTATCATCACTTGCAAACTGCACATAACTTACCTAACCCATAATCACCACATCAATGCATTCCATTAAACAAATATCAGAGAACCAGAATGCCATGCTACTCCTACTCAGTTTGTTTTCATAGTGAACCACTCATAGCATTTACACCCATCAAAGAAACAGGAATATCCATTAGACATTTCTACGATGCAAAATCACAAACATATGATAGTCACTACAAGAAACCAAGTTCTAAAAGATGATGAAAAGTTAATGTACACAAAATCAAGACAACATCCAAAGACCACAACACTTAATTAAGCTAAATATAGTGCGTGCTCACAAACTACAAAAACTGATTAATTGATACAACAGTGATTTTGCGTATGAATTACACAGTAAATGAAGAAGACAAATTAAAGAAATGGAGGGAGGCAGATTACAGTGGATGTTGTAATGTGAAAAAGTGAAACCACCATTTGTTCAGTTGGCTAGGCTTGGACTCTGTTTGTTGGATTACATTAGCTTGGCTCCCACCATTTTTCTGCTAATAAGAACATCCCAAAATAGTATGTAAAGTCCATTGAGGTCAGACATCAAACACATTGCAAGCAGCTTTAAAAACATAATACAACACACCATTCTACCAAACACCAACACAAACAACATCTACACCCTATGTATAGGCTTTATTTATACATATATCATATATCAGATTGAACATACAGACACAGACAAATCATCTAAGCATTTTACTTGACAAGCCTTATATCTTTTAACACAATACAAGTCCATGAAGATAAAAACAAAAATAAATATTGGAATGTGAATACCCATATTTTAATTGTCTGATTAGCAAAAAAAAACATTCGTAACAGTAAATTACAACAAAATTCAAGTCTTCTAACAGGAACAAATCTGCCATAATTCCTGAATTTTCAGAAATTTTTGGAAAAAAAAAAGGGGCAACACAGACTCTCTGTAGGTGTCTGTATATACACAATACTTGTATAGGGCCTTGTTAGAGTGCAGGCTAAACAATGTGGATCTAATCTCCTCCATAGACACTTCCTGGATCAACTGGGCAGCCCCAAAGCCAAGTCACTATGGTATCTCCTACTACAGGTATGGCGTTGGCTAAGCTTGTAATTACTGTAGCCCCCCAAAAGCTCATCTGACCCCAAGGTGGTACGTATCCTATAAAAGCCGTCACAATCATTAATAGGAAGATTACAACTCCGAGACACTGAACAAATTCCCTAGGACTGTTATAACTCGCATGATATAGACCCTAACTAGCCCTAAAACAAACAAAATACTTGTAGTTCTGAAATGGTAATGGTGTATTAGAAACATACCTGTATGCAAATGTTGCTGACGGATTCGCAAAGCTTCGTTGTTGAGGAGAGAGAAGTGAGTGAGAGAGACGAAGAGCTTCTTAATTGACGATGTTGGCCACGAACAACCCAAAATTGGCGCAAAACTCTGTTGAAGAACAGACCAAAATTGGGGGAGAGAGCTCTGATGAGAGAGAGTCTGCTAGCCAGGATTGATGAGTGAGAATGGGAGGAGGCAGAGTAGCGAGCATAATGGAGAGCCGTTGGAGCCAAATTTTTTGGACCGGCTCAACAAAATAGCTAAAAGTTGCCTTTTGTTGAGCCGGTTGGAGTTGCTCTAATATAAAAGCAAAACAAATTAAACCAAAAACACTTTCATTTCACACCCCGCCGCTCAAGTGGTCCTCCACTGAATCCACTCCAGCACTCCCCACTCCCCACCACTCACCAGTCGCTCGTTCTTCTTCACTCTAGGCTTTCAGCGACTTCAACCTTCATTCCAGATCAAGCCTTTAGCCCAACCACTCACCATTCCGACCTTCGTTCCAAATCCACTGATTCAACGACTTCAGCCTTCATTCCAGATCAAGATTCAAGACTTCCTTCAGTCCTTCTCTGGTTCTCTCTGTCTGTCTATCTGCGCATAAAGAGAAGGTTCTCTAATAGTGTAACAGATCATAGTTGTAGCTAACCCATTCCAGTTGCACATTATCAATCTGTTAATTTTTAGGATTAGCATGTTTAACAGTCTATTAATCTACAATAGCTATGGGCTATCACTTGTAAATTCAAACTCTTGTATGTCACTTATAAATACAATCAGTCATACCTACTTATGGGTACAACATTCAACTACATCAAAGTGTTCACCTTCTTTCATGGTATCAGAGCCAACAACATAACCTTTTGCCTCATCTCTTTTTTTTACTGATCACTATGGCATCCTCCATAGACACCACCTCTTCTACAGTCCCAACACAGACACAAAACACCTATTCTACAACTCATCAGCCTACAATTTTTCCACTTACCAACATCACCAATTTTGTCAACGTCAAACTTGAGGGTAACAACTATCTTCTTTGGTGAGATCAACTTGAATCAAACCTCATAAGTACCGACCTTCTTGGCTTCGTCGATGACACTGTTCTTCCACCATCGGCAACAATTACCTCCTCCTCTGGTCAATCTACAACCAATTTGGCATATCTCACTTAGCATAAATTTGATCAATTTATGAAAGCATGTATTAATGTAACATT